CCTTCACTTGTTTCACATCTAGGAAAGACTGCTCTTTCTCTAAATTTCAATAAACTAATGCTTCGAATCTTTGTTGACACCTCTTTGCACACATACTCAGTTTGAACAACAGCATCTGCAACTTTACCAATATCCACATCTCTCTGATCTAAAATTGTTTCTCTGCCATCCTCTTTCTTTCATGCAACTACCATAGCAAACATCTTGTATGACACCACACCTACCATACGAAATATTCCCAACCAACCTCGAGATAACGTATACGTAGGCCATGACGAGATTTCTTACCATTTCTGCAACAGTTTGTAATAACCACAGAAGTAACTTCATAATAACACAGATGAGTACTTTCTACAATTTTCACTTCGGTCAGCAAAATTAGCCCGTCCAAAACGAAAGCTCGAATCACAATTTAGTGTTGGGCATTTTGCCGACTACGTGTGCGTTGTAAACAGCTGAGCGTCACACAAAATACTTTTCATATGTAATTCTCCCTCGATATAACAATGTAAAATGTAAAATCTCCAGATTAATATAGATAACATCCCATTTTCTAAGAGGCAATTTGATTCGTTATTTGATATAACCCACACTGCGATCGGTGTGACGCGCACAGGCTTGGCTCCCTCACTCACTGACCACATAGCCCTTCCAGCCCCAAAGAGAAATTTGTGCATAGAAATACTTAAGTTAAGAGAAAACTTTCCTCATTTTATACGAGTCATAAGTTTACCTCTTACAGAACGCAACAACACTACTTCGCCAAAAATATCAAGAAAGAGAAATAACCTCGCTGGCACTTTAAGTCTGATTAAATCTGATTTGGCGCCACGTAGTCTTCAAAGAACATTTGAACAGTCTTCATACTTTTTCACCTTTAAAGAAAAGATCTCGGACTGAAACGAATGTCATAAAATGCCCATGAATTAAAAATATTATACTGCTGCTGTAGAAACACAAAAACTGTCCAAAGATGTTAGCTTCTATTTTGTTTCATATCCTGGAAACAAGAGGCGATAAATTGTCAGCTCTGATTGATTTTACTCCCATGTAAAAAACAAAAGTGTTAAGTTACCATTTGTAACTAAAAATAGCAACATCTCGTTTTGTTTGTTCAAACATTTCATGAGAACAAGTCGTGACGATTCGTCACCTCTAATTGAATTTACTCCTTGTGAAAAACAAAAGTATCAAGTTACCCTTTGTGACTAAAAATAAAAATATCTCGTGTCATTTGCATACTACTAACTCATGAACTGCTTCAAAACTCAAAACTCATCTCGTTCTTATATAACTAGCCACCATTACACTGAAAAACGCGCTATGAAACAACCCAGTGTATGTATGTAACTGTCACACTCCCCTCCAAACCGGACTAAAAATCACAAACCGGCAAAATACACGTCAGTCTTTATTTTTCAATTACCAAAGTCCTTGTGTTTAATACAATAAAACGCTCAAGACTTCATATACAGTGTACCTCACGATAGTTATCTTGAACAAAAACAATTTTCTTTTTCTTCTACTACAATTCGTGCTGGCGAAAACCGAAAACCCTAAACAAGAAATTTGATTGGCTGTTTATAGTAGATCCAATCTGATTGATGTGACATACATACATCTCTCACTAACTTCACTCACTCAGTCACTCAGTCACTCAGTCACTCACTCACCCATTGACCCGTCCATAACATACCCGACGCGCCGACGAAGAGGTTTTTTTTTTTTTTTTTGCAAAAAAAATAACCCAAAAATAGCACAAAACATGATACTTTTTGCTGAATAGAACATCAGCAACTGATTACAGATACATTTTTCTAGCTACAGGTCCAAAAACACTAGGAGCCAGGTGGGTCGGTTAGGAAAATTGGGCAGAGCGAGACCAGATATAATTTTGATGGGGGGTCGGGTGAAGAGATAATTCCGAGAATAAGAGTGAGTATTACAGTATAATTCTAAACCGCATAACTGTTCTTCGCAGAGTGTTTGGAACGAATCAAACTTAAACTTCACTGTAAACTCAAAACCCAGGGCAAATGAATTTGAAACAACACCACTTATTTCTCTATCACTGTTTGGATCACCTTAATGCCGAGTGACAACATTTTAGTGCATTTAAGGCTTGTTACGAGTCAGGTGTGTTTTTAGCCTCGATGCAAATGTTCTTCTTGCGTCAGGCGCATGCGTAAGATATTTTGAACATGACACTGTTTCTAAATTTAAGAGTTATATTATTGAACTACCCTCTAGCATAAAACGGAGTCGAAGACACACCTGAGAAATACAGCTCCGTTGAAAGTAGCGTGTTTAACTTTAAAGCGGAATCCGACATGGGCAATTATTGCAGTGTATGTAAAGAAAAAGTGGCGAGCGGAAAATACTGTGACAGGTTTGTACATTGACAGTTCTTCCTTCCTTGAAACCGACTTGTCTTGCCGATGTCACTTCCTTCGCAGGTATAATTTTCAGGACAAAAGAAACCTCCAAACTAACCAATACACGAATTTAACTAAGTTGAAGTTAGAAAACTGCCCGTTTTGCTTACAGCTCAACGATGAAGCTTTGTATAAAACATTCCCTTCATGGATCACTGATCATGCAGACCCAAGATCCTGCAATTTCAATGTGGCACATAGCGGCCATGTTGTCTTCTTGAAACTGAGTCTTTTTTGTTGTCTAGGTCTCTTAGGCCAACAATCTGCCGTAGGCTTGAATTCTATTTCAAGTAAATGGTCCCTTTTACAGTTTGAGGTCTAGGAACCGCTATGTTTTCCTGACGTCGAACTTTGTTCCATTGAAAATACGCACTAGCAGGAGGTAGTATGTTTCTGTATTGTTTATCTAGGCGACAAAAAAATGTTTTAGACTTATCATCCTTGCCCTAAAGCGAGAGAGAAAAAGAGAACGACTACTCCAGATCACTACAACTACAGATTCAAGTTTTGCGGCAGTATCCTACAGGGCTGTATAGAACTATGGCTGATCGAGTTGAAAATTTGGAAGTGTTTTCAGATCTCTCAATCGTATCAATCGTAGACATGTCCCTGCAAGGGTTCGAGAGAAGGAACCGTAACGTATCAGTCCTAAAAGAGACAAGTTTCCAGTGGCCGGATATTATATAAATCGCTTGCATCTGCTTTGCAAGTTACACGACGGTTAATTCTGATTTGAAATGATTTACACTGGTCAGAAAAAGATTGTAGTCTTGCTAATTTTTTCTGTGTAAACAAAACTAGTAGCTGACGCAATTCTCGGAAATGTTGCGAAATTGGGAATACGAAAGTCCTTCTAGAAGACTAAAATAGGAATGGTTCTTGTGAAAAATGTTGCAATTGGTTGGTTTTGTTGCCAGGAGCAAGATTTGCACCGAATGATATGTTTTCAATTCTAAAACAAAACGTTTCGACTAGTCCGAACGTATCAAAAGAGAGTCGAGGGAAGATCAGGATTACTAGATCCTTTCAAATTCTGTGAAAATGTAAGACCGTCGTTTCCACACTTTGTGTCACAAGACTTCGTTTAGAGTGTCTGTCATGATAAAAAAAATAAAACCTTATCTCGATCTAAGAGAAATTTTACAGATAAATAGCGGTAACTGTACCTAAACAGTTCTTACGGTGTGTTGCATTTGATGGTATAAAAAAGATAATTTGTCTGCCGCGTAACGGCTGTCGTCAGTCACGAGCTTTTCTCAAATATTCCCCAAAGTTTTAAAGGAAACAGACCTCCTTAACCTCTATTTAACTTCATTGATGCAATTTTCTTCCCCAAACCCAAAAACCTGGGCATTATTTGGCACTCGGCGAAGCAAAATTTCTTATAACGAAGACAAAGGCAAAGGGTACAATTTCTGGGAAAAGTGGTCATAGAGAGACGAGATGGCAAACATGCCAAAGATTACTGTATAACCTAAGTCGCATGGCATCTTCGAATCTTCGTGGAGTGTCTAGAAAGATTAACTTCCAGGCACAAATAAATTAGAACCAAATTTGTCAAAACCTCTCTGCTAACTGCTCCTGGGTCTGTGAGAATCTCAGTTAGAGTCATAGAAAATTAAAGTGACATTGCATAAATCCTTGATCTTCGTTATCAAACTTTGCAAATCCGATCTTAACCGTTTAAAAATGAGGAAAATTTCCTATAATTTTGAGGAATAAAAAGATGCTTTGATGTAGAATGGGATCAGAGTATCTATTCTCTCACGAATCAATCATTAGGAAGAAAGACTGAAATGATAGCTGTTAAAGTTTGTGAACTGCAAATAAACAGAATATTTCCTTATAAAAACAGCATTAAGCAGTCGAAAAAGTTCTGGCATATTCACAGTCAGCGTTGATCGATCTTTTAAAAAAATTCAGTTACATTTTTCAGGTGTTATGAGCGAAAGTACCCCTCCTGTGGCGGCTGTGGACGGCCCTTGCAAGATAATGAGGAGAGAGTTTGTGGCTATCACAAGTTTCCGTAAGTCAATTTGCATCCTCTTAGATTACTCGGAAAAATCTAGTGTTCTATTTTTCGACATTTTACTGTCGGTGTTGTAACTTGTTATCTCGGTATTGAAGAAATATAGCATGTGTCCTTTCCAAGCAAGGTTAATGATTAAGTAGTCCAACTAAATTGTCGAAACTAAGTTACGTTCAAGGTATATATATTATTTAACTGCAATGAATGGTCGTTAAAAGAGTGTACAATTTTGACAAAATACCTGCATGAATACCAGGTTCCTAATATTATTAGCAAAAGCTTAATGCTGGACAATTTCATTTGATCCAAATTGGGTAACTTTCTTTACTCATTTTAACCTTTCAAGTATCGTAATGGAATTTTTTTGTAGTCTGCGGTTGAAACAATTTCCGCTTCTTTAAAAAGCAACTTATGTGAGGGTCCTGGTGTCTCGGTGGGGTTTGAACTAATAGGTGAGAATTTGTAAATATTAAAAGTTAAAAACCTGCAGTGTTTTTGAACTGATAGCTGACATCTGAGAAATGGGCAGAGAAATGGGCAGAACGTTTAATTTATAGCTGAGAAATCTCCCAAAATTAAACTGATATCTGAGACCCTCGCTTCCTCATTCAAACCGATGACACTGACTGTATGAACTGTATAGGTAAAAAGAAAAATATATTCCACGCTTTCTATTAATTGCCAGCGTTTAATCGTTTCTTGTCTTTTTTGTTTCAATTTCAGATGCTACAGCCAATCGTCCGGGCAGTGCTGCCAATGTAATGCTCCAATCGACTGTAGCTTGAAAGGAGCATACTGCAGGAAGTATGCAAAATTATAGATACAAGCAAGCAACAATTTCTTGAAATATGCTATTTCTACGTCACTGGAGCAATTTTCGAAATATTCAAATTCCTACTGCAATATGAGTTCTAAACTAATTCACAGAATCGTACTAACTAGGATAGAACTATTCATATTCGGCATCAAAACTGACGACGAATACCTGTATTGTGGAGATAAGGATTCTATTTAAAACACGTTTATTGAATGCCCGTTTACGATGTCCTTTGCAAAAAAAGTTATACAATGGCTTCATGAAGCGAATTGTTGTCAGGTCTTCTCTACCACTAAGGAACTCTTGTTCGGTATTATTCCTAGCTCCAAAGAAACAAAAACAATCAATAAATTTAACTACACTACCCTATGATGTACCTCTGCGCCATTACATATATTCAAACAAAATCAATAGTAAGGGCATTTACATGCGCGAATTCATTAATAAATTATCTCTTAAGTACAATCTGAAAATATCCATTAATTGAAGCAGATATTTAAAATAAATATTAAGTGACGAAAAGACTCCTCTGATATAGGGATAGTAACAATCTTTCGAATTCCCCTGCATCCTGACCATCTCTGTCACTACTATTTAGATGTTAAGGTATCGTAAGTAATGCACAGTGTAGAGAACACAGTAAACGCGTAATGTTGTAAGTAATGTTAGTACAGTAAGTTGCATTAGTATTGTAAGAATTGTAGCTGTTGCATGACGATCGGAAAGAACGAAATAAGTTCTAGAACTTCAGATACGATTTACTAAGTCGTCTACTGCGATTCCACTGCCTGTGTTTGAACTAAAACAGTTTTTATTTTGTTTGCAGTTGTTACGATGTCCTGTACCCCCCTCCTCCGAGGGTTCGAGGGACATACAATGGTTGTGAGATGACCTTGTATCTGAGGGATGATGAGTTCAATTCCAAGCTGCAGCCTCTGGCATATGCCTTTGGCAGAGGATTGAGTGATGGAGGACAGCGGCGCTATTACCTCAAGGACTCTTAGTTTTCATAAGCTTTGGCTCCCTGGTTAGTTAGAAACATTTAGAGTCAAACAAACCAAAATACTTTCTGTAGCACCTAGTCATGGCATAAAAATACATGTTTTAATGGAGAGGTTTTAGTTTGGGTTTTGCATGTAATTTGCAGTTGCTTTGGTTTTGCATTATCACGGTAAGCCATTGGCTAAAGTTTTCCCGCGTTTCGCGCTGTCTACGTTTTAGTTGCTTCGAGTTTTGATTCGTTCACTCACTGCCGGGATTGTCTGTGTCCTTTGTAACTGACCAGAATCATTTCCTCGGTTTTGGTCTTTCGACACATAACACAACAGATCATAGGATGGATTTTATGGTTGGTACATGCAGCTTATATAAGTTTTCTCTGGACTTGTTTTTCCTTATGTAAGTTATGTTAAGCTAAAGCATTGGTTGCAGTACAGTAGTCTAAAATCTAGTTGTTTTAGTTTAGTATTAGACAAACAGGGAAAAGCACCCCCTGACGGAATTTAACCTGTAGTATAATGTTAGTTGATACATCGTGTCTTAGATTTTTGAAGAATAGATTGAAAGGAACTGCTCATTAAATGTTTGGGAGCCAATACAAAAAAGTCTGGTTTATTACTTTTGTAAAGGAAATCTTGTCAATGTTGCGTCACTGCGGAATGAGAAACTTAACTTTTATCACCAAGTGTTAAGAAAGGCTAAGTCTTACTCAGGCCAACTGATCCAGACCGTCGGTTTATCCCAGTCTCACATGAAGCGGCTTGAAGAATTTCTATTACCCCCTGGTTGGAATGCTGGTCCATTTATACACCTAGGTGAAGGGAGGCACTGTGAGAGTGAAGTGGTTTTCCAAAGAACACAACACAGCACAGTGACTTCGGTCTGGGCTCCAACCCAGACCACTCAAACCGGAGTCCTGCGCAAAAACCATTGGGCCATCGCGTCTCCATCCAAGTTTGAAGTAAGATATCAAACAGCAGAGACATTGTTTCATCAGGATATCCAAACACCGAGAAGAGAGTTGAAAATACGATGCGCAGCGGAGTATTTTTTGACGAAATTCGAGGTGTTTAGATAGCCGATGAAACACTGTGTCGAGTGTTTGATATATCTTCTCAATCGAAAAAAAAACTGAGGAGTAAAGGGAGAGGTAAAATCGTCAAACCTCCACGGTTGTGATTTTCTTTGTTTTGATTTGATGAATCATTAATGATTTGAGAAGTAACAAACATAAATCGATGAAAGGCCCTTCACGTCAAGCGCGCCAAAACAGAAATAAAAATCTCCCCTTGTGCTTTAATCGTTAATATCTAACGAAATCATTCTGAAGTTTATTTTGGCTTTCTTTTACCTATGAAACCCATTTTCGAACGTCCCAAGCGAAAATAAAAGATGTACGAAATGAAAGGCGCGAGCCTCGCAGAACGGCGAGTTATAATTCTACCATACCGCTTTATCGGAGCATCATTTCCCACCCAGGGAAAACACGTTAAAAACGTTTGCCTGGGTTTTGTTTAACTGTCAAGCCCTGAAAAACAGGGCTTCCACGGAGTCGAGGTGGCATGTACAGGGCATGGGTTTCCGTCACTTTCGAGGGTAANCGTCACTGCGGAATGAGAAACTTAACTTTTATCACCAAGTGTTAAGAAAGGCTAAGTCTTACTCAGGCCAGCTGATCCAGACCGTCGGTCTATCCCAGTCTCGCATGAAGCGGTAAGGAGAATTTCTATTACTCCCTGGTTGGAATGCTGGTCCATTTATACACCTGGGTGAAGGGGGGGCACTGTGAGAGTGAAGTGGTTTTCCAAAGAACACAACACAGCACAGTGACTTCGGCCTGGGCTCCAACTCAGACCACTCGATCCAGAGTCCACCGCGAAAACCATCGGGCCATCGCGTCTCCATCCAAGTTTAAAGTAAGGTATCAAACACGAGAGACAGTGTTTCATCAGGATATCCAAACACCGAGAAGAGAGAGTTGAAAATACGATGCGCAGCGGAGTATATTTTGACGAAATTCGAGGTGTTTGGATATCTGATGAAACAGTGTGTCAAGTGTTTGATATATCTTCTCAATCGAAGCAAAAACTGAGGAGTAAAGGGAGAAGTAAAATCGTCAAACCTTCTTCACGGTTGTGATTTTCTTTGTTTTAACTTGATGAATTATTAATGATTTGAGAAGTAACAAATATAAATCGATGAAACAGAAATAAAAATCTCCCGTTGTGCTTTCTTCGGTAATATCTAACGAAATCATTCTGAAGTTTATTTTGGCTTTCTTTTACCTATGATACCCATTTTCGAACTTCCCAAGAGAATTTAAAAGATGTACGAAATGAAAGGCGCGAGCCTCGCAGAACGGCGAGTTATAACTCTACCATACCACTTTTTCGGAGCATCATTTCCCACCCAGAGAAAACACGTTAAAAACGTTTGCCTG